TAGGGTTTAGGGTTTAGGGGAAACATGCAACGCCGAGCTGCTGATCCTGGGCCTTGGTAAGGAGATCAGTTGCCGAGTCCACCTGCGTCAAGATATGAGCTCTAAAGGGGCTTTGGGGCTTGTTGGGTTTAGGGCTTAGGGCTCTAAATTTTAGGGAGTTCCAGAAAAGAAAGGGTAACTTATTTTGGGCTCCTTATAATAGGGATCCTATCATTTAGGGCACTTTTTTTGGGTCCCCTATTTTCGGAAACCCCCGTGGGGTTTCCGAAAATGGGGAACTTGATATAGTTCCCTGAATAGTAGGATCCTTGTTATAAGGACCCAAGATACGGTACCCCTTATTTTCGGCAACTCCCATATAAGGAAACCAGAAAGGCAGGTCAGGGTAATGAAGGGCCTGAGCGGTAAATAACACAGACTAGTAAGATGCTATTGTCCAATGTCTAGGGTTGAGGGTTTCGACGCTCAGATTCGGACACAAGGTGAGGCATGTGGGTCTATGCTCTCACAACTCGGACTAGCCATGTGGGTTTATTCAGGGTTTATGTATATGCCAGAAGAAGCGCTCGAGGCATGGAATGCTGAACTTCTGTATGCAACGGGTGCAGTGGGACATTTGGGCCCCAGAAAGCCCTTTACTGGCTCTTTTCCCTCGAAAGCCGACAACCCTGAGAGCCCCAAAAACGAAAACCCTAAGCACTACAAACCCTTTAACCCCAACCACGGTTTAGGGTTTAGGGTTTAGGAAACCCTCAACCCTCACCCCGGCAATCCCCAAACCGTTTTGAGGCACCTTCCGACCGAGAGCGCCCTCGACCTCCACCAGACGGCGTTGCGTAAACTCATTGCCCGAGTCGACCTTCGAAGCACGGCGGGGTTTGAGCCTTTCCGATTTGGGAAATTAGGACTACTTAGGGTTAGGGGTTTGGGTTTAGGGCTTCGGACTTAGGGGTGCTGGGGTTCAGGGACATCGGGTTTAGGATTGTGAGCAATAAAATACAGTGAGCTGAATGTACGAATCAACGGGAGGGCGGGGCGGGGGGGGGGGG